GTCAGCAGGATGTATACCTTCAAGTGTTTATCTGGGAGGGGTGCTGTTGGATAGATCACATGTGTTGTGATTCATTGACAGTCATACCTTCTGCTGTTCAACATAATGATGACTGGTAGATAATTAGTTATTAGCGGAACTGCAATTTAAATTTACATAGCACAAATCTGCTTATGAATTGTAAAAATTAGTAAGACCCCTAAGCGCAAACAAAATATTTAGGTCTGTAATTAGTGGATTTGTGCTTTAGCGGGCTGGTGCCACCACTGGTGGCCACCTTTTGTTTTGGCCAGGAAGTGTATTTTGTGTTGGCCTGTTACATGACTGACTCTCATTGCATCAGACTGAGTGATTTACCTTTTCTGTTTTCTCCTCAGGCTCATCTTCGTTAAGGAACTCTCTCTTGGGGTACGGGATCTGACAGCCGGCAAACACGCTGCAGAGAAACCAGATCCATGCATCAGTTTAAAACGTCTCTGCAGCAGACTGTTCGTCTCTGCATCACGGTTCAAACCAGGAGGACTCACTCTGTGGTTGGTAGTGGGTCCTCCACGAAGTAGGGGTCCTGCAGCGCCTGCTCGGACGTGATTCTTTTGGTGGGGTCCATGGTGAGGAGTTTCTGGAGCTGGAGGCGGACAGAACACGTGGTTACAGAACCTGAACCGGTTCATTAAATCAGAGAGATGTGAAGAAAGACAATTCATTCATTGCTCATCTGAAGAAAACAAACAAACAAATGAAAAACAGTAATATTGGAATTGTTTCAGAAAAAAACTGAAACCATGAAGGTCCAAGTGTCCTGATGCTTCTCAGTAATCCAGGTTGTAATAATCAAACTGAATAAATCAGTAGGTCCTCTGGATGGTTCTTCTTTAGTGAAACGTTTCGTCTCTCCTCCAAGAGACTTCTTCAGTCTGATGAGTTTCAGGTGAACTCAGCCTTATAAGCTCCGCCTCCACATGGACAAACATGTTAGTCACATGTAAAAGAGGACCATCGCCTAACAATAGGCTTGATTAGCTCTATTGTTCATAGAGGGTCATGTGCTCCATCACCAACTAATCTGACTAATCTGGCAACAGTACATAGCAACCAGAAGGTAACTTTACATAACTACTAGAAGGAATGCAGAAAACCCTCCAGAGTTTAACTGAGATTATCTCATGGTGAGAAATGACTGAGCTGCAGCCGTTCTGATCAGACGTAGAAAATAATGTGTTAGGTTTAACTCTCAGATTTTAGCTCAATATTTCTAAACATCACTGAATTGTAACATTTTTGTGTTTGATAGGTTCAGTCCTGCATTCATGAAAATGATTTATCTCCTTTTTAGTAAACTGTTTGATTTGGTCAGCGTTGATTTTTCTCACTTGTTAATTATTGATTCTATGTTTTTACTGTGTTACACATCATTGATTACTGATAAGTTTGGCACTGAATTACTGCTGTATCTTTGTGGGTAAATTGTCTTTTTGTCTCATTTCTTTAACATCCATAAAAAATAAAGAAACTGCATTTCTTGTTTGAATGCTTGTTGCTGAATCAGTTAGCTGAAAGCTACTGAAGAAGCTGAAACATTTTAAACTTGACTAAACTGAACTTTTAAAGCTTGCTGAATTTTAACATTTGAGGTGGAACGCAAAATTAGCTGAATGATTGCTGAAATGTGTTGAAGAATCCAAACTGTGAAAACAAAAGCTTTAAGGGGCAGAGAACAGCTAGAAAAATATGCAGATAAAAAGTAAAAGGAGTAGAAATATAGCTGAAAGGGACAGAAAAAGTTGAAGTGGGCAAGAAGAAAATGGAAGGAACAAAAGAAAAGTTTGAATTAGTGGAAGAATAGCAGAAAAGGTTAAAGGGATCCATGATTAGTTAAAAAATATATTTTAACACAGACAGAGCCATTTTATTTGCACACAAAGCATTCTGGGTAAATGATGACGTGGATAGGTCCTCGGTGCGAGGCTGCT